AATGGAATTGAATCAATCAAGCTGGAATGAACCGAACGAGCTAAACTGGACGAAACAAAGTGAAACGAACATGAACAATACGCAAACGCAACAAAAAGTCGAGAAAGGTTGCAAAGTGCGAAGTTAACAACGATACCAAAAGGCTTCAAATGTCTAGCTTGAGATGTGGTGGTAACCCATTGAACACCTACTAACCTTAGAGATGAGGGAGAGAAAGTGTAATAGAGAACTAAGAAAGGAGGAAGATGACGAGATTTTACTAACGAGATTTGAAATCGACAAAGAGACACGCAGACTATGAAATCGAAGGTGATTGTTAATGAAATTGATTTCATATGAGGGCAAAAACGAGTCGTGATCGTGAATTACACTAAAATCATAGCAGAGTCAAGTTTGGAGTACATTTAAAGGATGACTAGTACAATAAGTCGAACAACATCTATTAAAGAAACGAGAAAAAAATTAGGTGAGGTTGGTCTCGAGCAAGTGAAGGTTGAAGGGTTATTGATGAATGACAGACAAACAAAGCTTTGGTTGTGCTTAATGGGAGTCTGTTTGACACTATATAAGGGTCTTGAATGTCGAGAGAATAAAGAGTTTGTTAGGTGTTATTAGTAGTCACGTGTGGAGATTTAGGGAGACTGAAATGTTACTTATAGCGAGTGACGACTCCTTCATATCGGTTAGACTTCTCAAGAGCCCAAGATAGATGAGGATACTTTGACTTATGCACAAGAAGCATGATGACTAGATGGACCATGGAGAGTAGGAAATCAGAGGCTAAGTTCACCTTGAAACTCAAATATACCCTGTGATGTCCCACATTGGTTGGGGAGAAGAACAAATCACTATTTATAAGGGGGTGAAAACCTTCCCCTAGCGCACGCGTTTTAAGGTCTTGAGGGAAAACCCGAAAGGGAAAGCCTAAAGAGGACAATATCTGCTAGCGGTGGTTTTGGGTCATTACAAATGGTATCAGAGTCAGACACTGGACGATGTGCCAACCTTCTCGCTCTTCCCCGAAGGGGGTAGACATGAGGCGGTGTGCCAGTAAGGACCCTGGACCCCAAAGGGGGGTGGATTTGGGGGCAGTCCCACATCGATTGGAGGAAGGAAAGAGCGCTAGTGAGGACGCTGTGATGTCCCACATTGGTTGGAGAGGAGAACAAACCACTATTTATAAGGGTGTGGAAACCTTCCCCTAGCCCTTCCCCTAGCAGGCGCGTTTTAAAACCTACCCGTGGATCTAGGTCGTTACATACCCTAATGGATAACTTACCCTCTTAAGAGTAGGTGGGTATAAGAACCCAAGAGGGCTAGGTTAGAGCTTAGCCCATGAAATTGGCTAATTTTAGATTCTTGATTGAGTCTATTGTTTAAGAGACATTGAATAGGAGACATTTGATGAGAGTTTACAAGTCGGTTGCGTACAAAACATTTCTATACTAATTCCTGCCTTTTATTATTGAGAAATGGATCGTAGACCACTATTCGATGGTGGGAGCATATAGAGTCGTGTGTCACAATCGCACTCTTGTAGCAGTGAGACTCCGATTGTATGACACTTATTAACCTAGTGAACAAGTGAGCCGTATAGAAAGTCAAACTTTGCAAACAACCTTAGTGTATGATCGAGCCTCGGTCACGTTTGAAAGAAATATTTCAAAAAACTTGAATGAGAAAATGCATTGAAAACAATTTTAAAAAAATCAATGTTATAAACTAAAATAGAAGAGGCAACAACAAGGACTTCGATAGCATATAACACGGGTAGGAAGAATTGACAACTAATCACGTCCCCTTATAGTACATCTTGGGACATTTTTGCCCTCACGAGTGTAGCATGATCTAGGGGTCCCTCCTACAACCGCACGTGTTAATAAGGCTAAATGTATCAACTACACCGAATTTAAGTTCAAAATTGTCTATAATTTTTTAATAGTAAACATATATATGGTAACATTACAAACCCATCGTCATTGATATTGGGAAAGTGTGTATTCTCATTGATATTGATATTTTTTAAATAGGATACAAGCTAGCCACTCATACGTACAATTGAGGAAAATATAAAATAATTAAATACAGAGAATAAAATAAAATATATGTAGATCAAATCATAAAGGAAAGAATATTAAGATATAATATCTACTATATATTTCATAAATAATATATCTCAACAACTACTTATCTTCGTTAGTTGGAGAGGAAACAAATCATTTTTTATAGGGGTGTGAAAATCTCTACCTAAAAGACGCGTTTTAAAATTGTGAGACTGACGACGATATATAACGAGCCAAAGTGGCTACTATCTGCTAGCAGTGGACTTAAGCTGTTACAAATAGTTTTAGAGTTAGACACCGGACTGAGTGTTAGTGAAGACACTGACCCTTAAGAGGGAGTGGATTAAAAAAAAATCTTTAAATCTTTATTTTCATTTCTTTAATAAATGTGATATATATATATATATATATATATATATATATATATATATATATATCTATAATTATAAATTAAAAACGAAATATTTATTGGTTGATATAAAAACTAAAATAGTTTAAAAAAAGTGTTTTTTTTTTTTTTTTGGTCTTTAAAAAATTGAACAAATATTGCTTTCTTTTCTATTTTTAAAGATATTTTCAAAATCTAAGCTAAAAAGTAATTTTTGCTTTTAAAATTTGATTAAAATTTAATGAAAATTATAAAAAAGAAATAGTGGAAATAAAAATAATTTTAAAAAACATATAGAATAATAGTACATGAATTAAAGTACGAAATTATAAGAACAACGTAATCGCTTCCCGATAAACTTTACTTTTCAGCTAGTCCGACACTATCCGACATTAGCTCTTTGATATACTTCTCGATGGAAGTATCCATCGTCCCATTAATAACGAGTAGACCCACATAATTCAATCCAGACTAGTTGCTCAATCATTCCACATAATTTTAGCAACAACAAAAGTTGTAAAGATGACAGCAACAATACTACTCGAATAGGACGGTTTTAACATTTTTCGAGTCAAATTTTTTTATATGAATTAATATCTAGGAATATTATTTTTGAAATTGAATTTTAACCCAACTATAATTTTAAATTTTAAGCGAGTTGAGTTATTTATTATTTATTTATTTATTTATTATTATTATTATTATTATTATTATTTTGGTGGTTATGTATTTCTAACTACAAAATAAATAAATAAATAAAAATGAAGGAATTTAAAGAGTACAATGAGGTGTTACCTAATAGCAGCCCATGTGGTTTCCATTAAAGCATTGGTTTAAAGCATTGATAGGCTAACTAACATTTATGGTCATCTTATCTAAGCTTGGTTTTCATCCTAAGAATCCCGCTTTAAATTGTATTCTAACACGACAGATATTTTCGAAAGAAAATCGATCATGCATCTGATATATACGTCGGTGTATGCTTGTGAGATCTTACATTGGTTAGAGAAGGAAACGAAACATTTTTTTTATAAGAGTGTGGAAACCTGTCAACAGAGCTTTTAAAAACGAGGAGGAATATCTGCTAGCTGTGGACTTGAACTGATACAATTGAAGTTGAGTTGAGTTGGATTGAGGAAATCATTTGGACCAACCCGAAATTTGGGTTGGTTGGGTTGGTGACGTGAGCAACTGAAATAGAATTCACAGACCAACCTAATACAACCGTTAGAGTTGAACTTAGTTGGATTATCAGGTTGTTTTATTTATTTATTTATTATTATTATTTAAAAAATTATATTTATCCTACTGTATTGTTATATTAATAACTATCAAACATTTACAAGTTACATTGCATCACTAACATCAGTAACAAACATCAAATATTCTTAATCTTTATAATAATTTTAAAAATAGATAGAGTTGAGTTAGGTCATAACTCTATTTTCGAGTTGGTCGGCTTGATTTAAAAAAATGTTAACCTACAAACCGACCAAAATTTTCTATTCTAAAAAATTTTAATCGAGCCTAAACCGAATAAAAAAAATCTAACCCAACCTAACTTTTAATTCATGAATATTAGAATCATGGAATTTAACACATGAATCAATACTCACCAAGCTAATTGAGATTGATTCCTTTGAGATACGTCAATTTTGGACAAGTTTTACCTAGGTATTCAACGTTCACTACGATGCTCAACGTTCGGCCCTTGACATATTCAAGACCTCGAACTATGAGTTTACCCTTGATCATGGCAACTCCAAGAATTCCGGCGACTCACCAGAATTCTCGAGCAACCTTTCCTAAAGACACGCTTGTTCCACTCTCATTAAGTCCAACTATCTTATGCCCACCAAAAACACAAAACATAGAAACATGGAAAACAAGAGGGAAGAAAAGAGAGAGGGAGACAAATGGTCGCAAAACCCCATGACACCGCCGAACGCCATGAAAGAGAGGATTAACGAGCTAGGAAACACCTTGATACACACGAGTGATTACTACCAAATGGTGTCGTAGCTTTGTTAGCCAAGAAGATAAATTGATTGCTAATACAACTCTTTGGAGTATAACAAAATAAGAAGTGACTCCAAAGTATAACAAGTTTTCTTGAGTTTTAACATTTATTACACAAATTATTATAATAGATAATTAATTTTTGTTAACTATTTTATTTTTTATTATATTAAATTATTAAAATAATTTTAATAAATTAACTTTCAGAAATAATATACAAAGTAAATAATTATATATTAGTGTCAATTATTTTAAATAAGCTTATAAATCTTATATAATTATATTAATAGAACAATACAAAAGAATTTATACATTACAATAGAAGATTTAATTAATTTGAATTAATTGTAGTTTATTATCATTACTTACAAATTTAATTTATCCATTCCTTAGTATGAAAAAATATGATATCTCAACTTCTAAAGGGAAGTGATACCATATCGTCCCCGACCCACAAAATGTTACGATTTAATGCGAAGCCATGCTATTGCCATCAAGTTTCTTAAACTCACAATAGTATCAAGAACAGATATCTAAATGCAAGTGAAGTCTTGCAGAGATGCCTTGACATTAAATTAAAATAGGTCAAAATTGAAAGTATGATTCCATAATGATCCTTCCAAATTTAGTCAAGTTTCACATCAAAACATCATCATCTAAACATTGGGTCCAGTAAAGTAAAAGAAAACTATCGATCCATCAAGTCGACAAAGAAACGAAACCTTACCCCTCTAGCTAGCTGATTTGAGGAACTGCAAAAAAATAAAAAAGAGATCAGAAACAACGCTACATAAACTAAGCAGTAAAACATTTAGAAGTGAAGGCGTCTGGTTTTGTAAGTTTAGACAAATACTCCTACAGATTCGGATATTAATTTGATTCACGATCACGACACAGAAAAGTATGCAAATTGCATCGCTTGAACGAAGGTTCTACTACAGAATCAGTATAGGAAATGAAACCCCATTCATGGATGAACACTGGTCAAATAATAACAATTTGTGGTGTCTTGATTCACAACATTGAAAAATCCATTTTAAGAAAATGACATCGCAGAACGATTTTCGCTTGTCGATAATCGAGAAATGAAGTTTACCCTGAACTTTTTAACTAAACATGAAGTGTTGTAAAAACAAAACAATAAAAGGAAAACATAGATAGATCAAATTCAACTATGAATCCAATCTGGCTTCCAACAGTTCATATGAAATACAACGGAGTACACTACAGGACGCAAAGGTGGCTAGAACCAGGGCTAGAAAAATATAACCAGACACGAGAAAGACATACGATCTATAACAGGTATGGACTGGATTATGTGAATTGTCAAGAAATAAACTTAGAAAAAAAAAATTATATGAAATTGGTCCAAAAGTAAAACTAAAAATTCCATCGTGAGGACAAGACATAATGCTAGAGCCAAAGACATTAAGGTAAAATAAAAAATCTGTGTAACAGATTAGAATTTTAGAAAATATAAATCGAATCTTCGGAACACGAAACAGCACAGTATTGCAGCCCTATAAAACGCACTGCACTATTGGAAGAATACATAAAGACATCTCAAGAACATCTGATTGCCATCAAGCTCCAAATTAGAGATTGAAGAGACGAATCCATGAATATTCTGTAATAAACACACATAAGATATAACAACACCCAAGAACAGAAAAACAAAAACAAATATTGAGAAAAACATATCACAAATGATACAATGATCACAGGACTACATCACAAATCCCATTAAGTAAAGCAAACAAAATTGAATATTGGAAAAGAAAACTAGCAATGTCAATGCAATATCAACCATACTGTGTTTTTATCACATTAAGATGAACAGCATGGATGGTTTTTCCTTTTCTACATCTAAAAGAGTGGTGGAGGGGAGTGTACCTCATATGTTGCTGGGGTACATAAATACCCTAATTTTATCACCCTGCAAAATTGTCCAGTAATTCAATCAGAAAACCTATCCCAATATACCATCATTGAACAAATATGAAGAAACAGCTACTCATTTCACATTACCATGGATTTTGGGGGCAAGTTCGACTTGAACTTGGCTCGAACAATGCCACTGTTACCATGAGGTCTGGATACCTTGCCCCAAATGCACCGATAGTGGGTTCCATTCTGCTTCACTTTGGCCTTGTAGATATATGCCAACCGTTTTCCAGCATACCACGCAACCTCTTCCTTGGTATTCACACCTTCAATCTGAATCAGTGATGTTCTTGGATACTGGTTTGACTTGGACCTAAATACCAATTCCAAATTCTTAGCTCCCCCACAAACTATAGCATCCCTCACTAATTAATTACTAAACCTAACGCATATTTCAAATCCAGTTTCATCAATTCTCTGGCATCAAACTACACTTAAAAGGGTACTCATCACTAAGAAAAAAACAGTTCAATATTCGATAATTGAAGCGAAACCAATTACCTTTTGTACCCAAGGACCGTTCCTCTGACGTAGAGTCTGAAACAAACACAATACATTAGCAAATCGGTAGAAAAACATAGAAAATAAAGCAATCAAGTCGGCTTAATCTAGGGTTTGGAGAGAGACCTGATTCTTTCTCCCTGCCTTCCCTTCACCATGGCTGCCGCAGTCTAGGATTCTGCAAAATGACGTCTTCAAGCCAAAATACTAAGAACTAAGATCGGTAACCAAATGTAAATGCCATTGGTAAGAAAAAAAAATGGAAATTTTTGAGCAATAATCACCTTAGATTTGCAGGTCAGAGGAAGATGGAGCTGCGGTTCAGAGAAGAAGGCGACCACTTGTAGAAGCGGAAACTTTTATAACGGGGATTTGAGGGTCAAAATGATTTAAGAAATTTCTAGGGTTTCCCTTTTAGCGCAATAGATAGATTTAAGTCTTAAATTAACAAAAAAAAAAAAAAACTTTAAAAGGTTTCGTAATATATATATATATATATTTTAAATTCAAAATTTTCATTAATACTTTCAATTTTTTTAAAAAGTTACCAAATATTTTATTATTGCGTTTAAAAAATACTCATAAACTTTTATAATTTTGTTTTAAAAGTTGTTATTGTCTCTTGTCACTACAAAAAACACGAGATTGTTACCAAGATAAATAAAATAGTCAGATGTAGAACGATGAGTATCGAAACAGATAGCCCAGTCAGCATCTGAATAAGCCACTCGCATACTAGTAACAGTGAATGAACGAAAGATAAGACCAAAGTGGAGTGTTCTCTTGACACAGCGAAGAATACACTTGACAGTAAGAAAGTCATTACTGTGGGGACATGCAAAAATTGGTAGGGGAAATATTTGGGCGCATAATGGTCAAGTTCTAAGTTTTGAAAAAAAAAAATATAGACGGCACTAGCATATTTAAAAACTATCGGTCTCACTCTCCCCTCTCCTTTACAGGTTCTTTCATTTGTTTACGAGGTTACGGGGAAGGAGCTTCTCTTCCTGTTACGGTTCCGGAGAAAGAAGAAATAGGGTCCGGAGCTTGACCTTCTTCTTGACTGACTGTTCCGGAGAAAGACTAACTACTTACTATGTTACCGAGTTCAATCAGGGAAAATAGCCCCTCATTACCTCGGTCAATCAAAGAGCTATTCTATTCAGGCACCGACAAGATATTGATCAGAGTAGTATTAGAGAAAGGAGAATCATCAACAGTCAGGGGTTGAAGAACAACTTTCAGGTGTGTACTGGTTTGCAGCACGAGTAAAAATATCTCGAACATATTTTAATTGACTAAGATATACATGGATGAAAATTGTTTGCCAACATATGGATTAAAACATGTTGGTAGTGCACATATGATTCATGCGACCGAATTCCAATGGTTATCTTTTCTATAAAGTTTTATTCCAGTGACTCGAACACAAAGACCAAGATTTGTGGAAGCCTCCTCAAAGAAAACCTTAATGATTTGTCAATACATTTTGTCAAACCCATGATGTTTGAAAAGAAGTTAATTTATTCATGTCTTATGCCTTTTAACCCTATAATGAAGATCTACAAGTCCACATTGAGATGGGTAAATGAAATCTATCTGGGTCATGTTTTGATCTATTTATCATTGTCGTCATTTGTTGTCACGACCCAAATTTTACAAGTTGCGACTAACTTGAAAACGGTAAAAGACAGTAAAATAGGACAGTAAGATTTTTCACTTAAATAAACATAATTCATTTTGTACCTGAAGTCGTTTGAGGAAGAAAAAAAAGTTATCAAATGTCGTTGTATCGTGATCCATTGAGATCATGCCAAGGAAAACCACCCACGACCTGCCTTATTAAATCCCTCACTTCACCCTTCTAACACATAGAACATACTTGTATAGAGAGAAGGAGAAACGGAGAGTGATCGAGATAGAGGAACTGAAGAGTTTGAACACTGAGATCTGTATTCACGAAACTCATGTTGGTGTGTTACATAGAGGGTAATGTAGGACAATTACATGATGTGGAAATCGATATGGTAAAACATTGTTCTCTTACTCTATCAAAAAACGATCTTTTGGATAATGGGTATTCAATACTTTTAGATAAACGAGGTTCATATAGGTTAAATTGGACGTTGAAGTACAATCACGGACCAACTTTAAGAATATTTAGGGACTACGACAAAGGCCAAACAAGTAAGTGGCTCTATCATTGGTTGGTTGGAAGAATTGTGTGATGTATCACACATGCCTCCTGCATGTGCCATAACTAGGAGTGTTATGTTATGCTATATATGTAATGTGTTGACCTATGTTGCTATATTATGTATTTTATGCAGTGTTCTATTATACGATGCTATGTATGCTATGAAATGCTCATGCTACGTCATGTGAAACCATGTTTAGATATATACAATACTAATGATGCATACACGATTCATATGCGTATTTTGACATGAATGAAAGGAAGAACAAACTGTTTTTTTTTTATTATATGCTATGGTTTAAAGCTATGAAAATCTTATATATTTATGTGTTTCATGTGCATCGAGATACTTCTAGAAACTAGACTCAAAAATGGTTCTAGCAAAGAAAATTGTAAGTAATTTGGATGTCGAAAGCTTGAGAATCGAAGACTGGAATGTCAACAATGAGGTAAGTAGCCATCTTAGTTTTTTCTTAACAAATACGAGTAGGAATTGCTAGTTAAGTATGATTTAGAGGAATATAGAAGAAATGACCCAAGGACAATGAGTTAGGCCATAAGCTAAACGTTTTGCTTACGAATCAAGTAACGTTAAAGTAATCTACTGAATGAATTCCGTTGTCTATGAAATTTTAATGCTAGGTAAAATATGATATGTTAAGGTGATATATGAAAATGGGTGGTCATTGGATAGCTAAACTAAGCAACGATGCAAAACAACCATAATGACCCTACGGTAAACTACTTCGTTCATGACCCAGATGATCTCCAAATGTGATGAAACTTATTGGAGCACGTTTAGACACTAAACCAAGAATTAAGAGTTTAAATGACTAAAATGCCCCTAAGGATCTGTAAGATATTTCAATACTCAAACACCCTCCAAATAATTTAATGATTTAAGGAAGACCTATTTATAAGAACCTAAACAAAGAAAATGTGGTAAATGACCAAAATACCCCTATAGGGACCTCAAGTTTTCAAGACCATAAGGATTTCTCAGGGTTATAAAAGACTTAATTATGATCAAAAGAAGAATTTTTAAGAGATACGTTATAACCTTATGATACTGTGCATGTTATTATGAAATGTTCGTAGTATACAGAAAATGACTCGAATGCTCCTATCAAATAACCTCAAGAATTATGCACTCGAATGAATCCTTTTAAGACCTTGAAGGTTATTAAGTATCATGGCAGAGGTGTGCTATATTGATATGGAAAATCAACCCAAGGGAAAGTATGGAACGGATTACCTTGATGATCAAGATCAAGAGTAAAGAAAACTCGTTTCTAAACTCGTGATTCGAATCACTCCACAAGAGGTTTGATCAATACCACTTGAATGACTCTACATGCAAGTTCTAAACACAAGAATTTGCAAAGAAAGTTTAGCTCTCAAGAAAGCTAAAATAGAAATTCTATTATTAATTCCAAAATGTGATGTCTAATCAAAGAAAAGAAGGCTTTATATAGCCCTTACAGCCCTTACAACCTTAACGTATGTGATATATAGCTCCCAATTAAATGGGCTAGTAAATGAAAAATACCCATAACCTCCATATTAAAATCGCTAGTTAATGGTGGAATATAGTAACCTATATGGGTTACAATATAACCTTTACTCCTATATTTAAAATTAGTTTAAATATGACAAACAAATATTTAAACTATAATTAAATAATGCAATTAATAAAATATGCTTATTGACTCATCCTTGGACTAGTTTCATAAATTCAGCGGAGTTCATTAAATGTAACTTAAAGTGCATTTAATTCATCTCTTTCTTGAAACTCAACTTTGCACAACATATAAGGGAGGTCTCCAGCGTCTTCTAGAATTTCCTTTGATGAACTCACCATAGCTTGAATATAACTGTATAAGGTTTGTTGTAGTTTCTTAGCTCTCGTCCTTGTAATTGGACCTTCAGGTATGGAAATTCCTTGGTCGTGGTTCATATCATATATGTTTATGTTATATTTGGGGTTCATCCTTGGTTTAAAGCCATCAAGATGCTACCTCGGGATAAGGTTTAAGATAGTCCATGGTGTTTAAGTAATTAGAAGGCTACCCTTACTCAAGAAAAACTCAAAGGTTAGTACTTAGATGTTTAAGCAATCAGGTTGCTATTTCATGACAAGTTCTACATATGTAAGAATTAGGTGACTCGAAACACATAATATAAATGAAGGGAAAATGCATAATCTAAATTAATAATTTCTAACTCTGATGTACATAATAAATCTCTTGCTTTACAAGTTGATCAATTGTAATCTCGTTAAATACAAGTTCATCTTGATAGAGCCTTCGAAGGTTGAATTCTCGAGTCAAATGTTGCATTGTCGGTCGGGCTTTTGGATTTGGATGGAGACATGCAAAGGCTAACGTTAATGTAAGAAGTATACTTTGTGTCAGTCCAATTTGGAGTAAAGGAGATTTGAGCCGTGAGTCTAACAAATCCTTGATGAATATACATGGAGTATATTTAGACCACAAGTAAGTCAATAATTCTCCGGGATGCTTTCCCATTATTACTTCTAATGCCACAACTCCAAAGCTGTAGACGTCACATTTTTCTGATATGACCACGGAGTATGCTAGTTCTGAATCATAAAAGAAAAAGATTAAAAGTAATGATTTAAGAAAATCAACTGATCAATATGGGCTCACCCGGAGCTATATATCCACAAGTACCGCCAACAGTGGTATGATAAGATAACTCATGATCGAGTAACCTTGAGATACCAAAATCGGATAGAAAAGCTTCTAGATTTGAGTCCAAAAGTATATTACAAGTTGTAACGTCCCGATGAATGATTGGAGTAATGCAATCATGGTGTATGTATGACAAAGCATGTGAAACTCTTTGTAGGATGTTCAGTCTTGTCTTCCAATCCAATTCCACTGCTTCTTTGTCGTTACTCAACACCCAAAACAGGCTTCCCCTCTCCATGCATTCATATATGAGAAACATGCAACGTCTATGGAGGCAATATCCATGGAGTTTAATGATGTTCTTGTGCCTTATCTCTTTCAGCATATCAACTTCATTTTGGAAACTTTTGAAAAGAGTTGTCTCTTGGGCTTCACGGGTATGAAGTTTCTTTAGAGCTACGACCTTACCGTTTGGAAGCCTTGCTCTATAAACACTTCCATACCCACCTGTACCAATGCAATATTTAATATCGAAGTCCTCTGTTGCTTCTATAATATCGTCATATGCAGAACACATTCCCATGCTTATTTGAGTTTATCTCATGGGTGACCCTTTTCTTTGATCGGGAATGAACAAGAGTGAAGCATGAATCTTTGGGCAATGAACTCCTTACCTGAATCTTTATAATACTTCCTGAATCATCACAAATTATGTCATTCCATTCACAACGAAATGAGATATTATGATTGACCCACCAACCAGTTTGGAGTAGAGCATCAACTTCTTGTTGAAGCTGGAACATGTCGATGCATTTGAATATGTAAAAATTGAATCAAACAAGGAGAAAATATAAGAAGAAAAGAGTAGAAACCAAAGGGACCAAAGTGAGAGGAAAAGATTGAGTATTGCTTGCAAGGCATAGGATCGCACAAGAATACACACTCGATCGAGATACACACAAAGAACATGAAAGAGAAATATTAGTTAAAAGTTTTGGATAGATACTATTAATTTTTTTCAAACATACTTTAGAATTTTCAAAAGGGTTTCAAAACTATTTTTTTTTATTATTTTTATTAATACCATTAATTTTTCTTTAAAAAAATTTCAAAATAATCTTATCGTTATTGCTACGTTTCAAAAATACTAATGAACTTTCAGAAGTAACATTAGAAAGAAGATAATCTATGAGGTGTCGGTAGATGGTTTATTTTTCATCTATATGTCGACTGTAAATGCTTTTTTATTTTCTATTTTTATAAAAGTGAAGGGTGTTAATGATGTATACCAACTCTAATGTTATTTTTGAATTACTTTTAAAAGATAAAAGGATATAATGAAACTTGAATTCTTTTGATATTGAAACTTTTGAAATTTTAGATGTATTTTTAAGATAAAGTATAAAGTTTAGGGATATTTTTATTAATTTAGCCAAAACTTTATAGGAATAAAAAGAGAGGGAAAAGGAGATACGAGAACATACATATAGAAAACCTTTGATTTTGGAAGCGTATCAAATACGGTTTGACCAAGAGAGCTTGACTTGTTGAAATCATTGAGGACATCTTCAAAATTCAATTTTTGGGTTTCTTTTTCGACTGTGGCGACGAAGACTATGCGGCATGCCTCTACTCTAGGTTGACGTTCCAAGGTCGGTGAGGGCTTTTCCCAGTTGGTTTGCTCAGTTTAAGCATTGGGGCTGAGGTTTTTCGAGGTCGCAGAAGTTGTGGGTTTTTTTCTTTCTCTGTCACGACCCAATCTTGGTTTACCTACTTATCCTTATTCAATGATCACCAAATTTCATATATAACCTCAACATGCTATAATCTTCATATAGTGGGTTATTTTAACGTTATTTAAATCTTGAGCTATTTGATCGGTTCAGGGTCTTAACTCATGGTTCTTTGGAGATTTTCTTTCATGTATTAAAATTTCATAGGCAGCGCTATTTGATCTTGGAGATTTTCTTTCATGTATTAAAATTTCATAGGCATTGGAGATTTTCTTTCATGTATTAAAATTTCATAGGCAGCGCTATTTGATCTTGGAGATTTTCTTTCATGTATTAAAATTTCATAGGCAGCGCTATTTGATCTTGGAGATTTTCTTTCATGTATTAAAATTTCATAGGCAACAGAGTTCATATAGTGGGTTATTTTAACGTTATTTAAATCTTGAGCTATTTGATCGGTTCAGGGTCTTAACTCACGATTCTTTGGAGATTTTCTTTCATGTATTAAAATCCTTAATTCATACTTGGTTTAGGGTTCATATGAAAATCCAAGTGTTTTCTACGTATTTCTTAACAAAAAGTCCAAGGTGGCTACTTACCTCGTCGTCGACGTTTGTGGTGGCTACTTACCTCGTCGTCGACGTTTGTGGTGGCTACTTACCTCGTCGTCGACGTTTGTGACCTCCAGTATCTAAATTACTTCAAATTTCCTTCCACATACTCCATATTGTGTCTAGTTTATGAATTCATAATGTTTTTCATGAGAATCAGTCTAGAATGGGGTTAAAATTGAGAAAACCTGAGAAAAGGTAAATTTTGGGTTGACCTAGCCAGTTTAGTTGAACTGGCCATATCATCGTGTTCTTCCTCTGAATAAGAAGAAGATGCGCATTTTTTGCGTCGCCTCCATCTGAAACTAAGCCTGCACAGCCACATTTACAACATTTATCTCCTTGATTTCTTCGTAAAACTTAAAGATGGGTGTTACAAGGAAGAGCTAGGGATTGATTTGATACCTTCTCGTTGATCGTAGCCTAAGCTATTCGCTTCCAAAGTTCATCCAAAATCTGATTTATCGTCGGAGATAAAACAATGGATTTCTTATTAGGTAGCCAATTCTAGGGGTTTCAAGGCCCTATTTCTTCATTGAACCTCTTCCATATCCTTTCTTCAAGCTAAAGGAATTGGTTTGTAGGAACGTCTTTGAGTGTACGATCTTAATTTCTAGAAATCGTTCTCGGTATGCAACTCACTCGAAACGCCAAATTTTTGATCTCTTGGGTAGCTTGTTCTACGACGTTTCAGCTCTCGATTCCTTCATCAAGTTTACTCAACTTCTTCCTCTGAAGCTAGATGAATCCTTAATTTGAAGGAAAAGAGATTGTAGATAGAAATTCAGACTCTTATCCCCAATTTAATCTCGACGCCTATTTCCTTCAATTTGGCACGCTCTCGAGGTTATTTTTCTTCATGGTCTTCTATGGAAACATTCCTTGGAGGTGTAGAAACTGATTGGAATCATTCTTGCTCGACGAGTCATCATGTATCCTCAGATTTTATTTTCAAGTGTTTCTTGAAGTTCTCCAATGGCGGATTAAATTGGGGGAATGGTTTTTGGGCACTTTCAGCACTCTATTCCTTGATAGAACTTGTGGGTAATCTTGTTTAGAAACGGTAGGAATAAGTTTGAAGAGAAATGATAGAGGATTGCTCTCGAATTTTGAAGAAATGTGAGAGTAGGAGACCCATAATCTAAACGCTTATTGCCTTCGATTGAGAGATCGACCTTTCTCGATTCTTATTCCATATTGTTGCTCCTACTTTATTCTTTATCGGAGGAGCTTAAACTGATATTTTGAGCTCCAGAATCTTCGTTATTTAGAGATTGAAATTTATGGATAATTTTTCGAAAATATCAACTCCGTTCATAACCTTTCAGACCATGGTTTTGAATACTAGTCATTGGATGTGGTGAACTTTGTCATCCTTACTTAAGTACAATAGAAAGAAATAATTTACAATTTACGAGTAGTAGATAAGATATGAGTTATTGTCCGAGAAGGAATATGTCAGAAAACATAGTCATTTACGGATTTTTTGTTTTATTTTTTTAACAAATAGTTTAACAACTCTTCTTGTGTTTTGTAAATGCAGATTTTTAACAAGGTGGTTGAGAATCTAAAAATCGATCCTTGAGATCATAGATTACATTTCTTCCTCTACTATAGAACGAGAAGATGTTGAACCTACTTATGCGGGCTCTTGAAGAAGCTTTTGAAAATCAGCTTCTGAAGTTGTCTGGGCTAATACGGCAAGCAACCTAGACTTTGAATTGAGAAACTCGGTGGTCTTTTTCTTAGATAAACCGTGAAGGTGGCCATTCTCAGATAACCAAACCTCACTGCTTTAAGATATGCGTGGGTATAAATATCCCATTATTTGATTTTGATTACTTTGAAGACATGTTTTACTTGATCATCAGTTTAGTTTATTTGGAAATTTCAAAGTTAGAATACAAGGAATTTGAAAATATACGTGCATAGCCAATGGAAATGGAGTTTTGAAGATGTTTTGAACGAAGTAATTGAACTATTCCTGAGGATTAGAAGAAGAAAACAAAGATTCAAGAAGATGTCATTCATGCCCTGTTTTAATTTTTATTCTTTCTTATTTTTCAAAGTTCGTTATTTAATTATTTTCTCTTGAGTGAATTAATGAAACACATTCTCTACTTAAGTAATTGCAAGATGCAAGCTTCACACTCGGGAATCAAAGTCCCAAGTATCAACCTTTTAAGTGTCAATTTTTATTCTCCATCTCAACATATATTAAACTATTTTTGTGAAGATATCTATTTATAAAAGCAAAATATCTCAGAGTCACAAAAATAAAAATGAGATATAGATACGAAGGACAAATCAAACTTCTTAAGGATAAATTAGGGGCACCGGCCTAAGCTAATCAGATAGGTGGCCTTACTATCAGTATGGTTATATTTGATGTTGAATGTGCCTGTGATTCTGCACGTGTCATATATATTGATATGTGTGAATTGTTTGTGAATCAATATGCTTATGATATGTTATAATATGTGAATTGTATGATAATACTTACGGTACCATGTGTTCAATGTTATATTTGAGATAGGATACGAGAAGAATGCACTAAACGCAATGTAACAATAGGAGTAAGATATGTTCATGAAACGTTATAGTTTGGTTACGTATCAAAGTGCTATGGGTATGAGAGATTGATAAAAAGGATATGGTCATGATGGATTCATAAAACAGTACGATTAGGTTATGTGTAGAAAGGGATAGGATTATGATAGATTGATATAACGATAGGGTTAGGATATGTTCCTGCAACGTTATGACTAAGGTACGTTCAGGTAACGATACAACTGTGATATGTCTAAGGACGTTAAGGCCATGATAAGCTAGGGAAGGATATGACCACGAAGTGTTTACGATATGATATGATTATGATACGACATGTGAAAGACGGATATATATCCAACAAGTGTCAAAGAGGGACGTGAGAATAAGTTATTCTCATGTTTTCTTTACATCAATCCAAGAGTATTTGATACGCTTTCAAACTTAAGGGTTTTCTTTTTTCTTCTTCCTTCTTTCTCTCTTTTCAAGTTTAAGTTAAAATGTGAGAATGAAGAAGTTAGGAAGGAGAAATAAATGAATGTAATAAAACTTTTCCGTGTGTAGGAATGGAAATGGTGAATGGGTCCTTGATGATAGTCGACCTCTATACTTTGGTTTTGGATGTAGAATAGATCAAGCGATCCATTTGTTGAGAGTATTGTAAGAGGCGCACAAGTAAGAATGTTGGATATAACTGCTCTTTCACATCTGAGGGATGAGGCTCATAGATCCAACTACAATATCAAAGAAACTT